TCACTCTTTCCTTGATATATATACATTGATTATCGCAATAATGTTATTGACTATATGGAGTATTCATGCATAAACTATATAGGGTTATGTCATCTCTGACTGGCTTGGGATCGATAGGATAACCACTCCTGAGCGTGCGAATTACACTTATTCGATAGAAGCATCCATCAACGCCGGCATCGACATGGTAAGCTACCAGTTAAATGGCTGATGAGATTGAAAGAACCAAAAGAAAACCAATATAGACAACTCTATATATATATATATATGTAGGAGGACTCTTAACTAATTGTGGTACCGGGTGTGGGTTGCAGGTTATGGTCCCATTTCAGTTCGTAGAGTTCATAGACGGTCTGACCGATCTGGTGAACCGTGGATTCATCCCAATGGCCCGCATCGACGACGCTGTCCGCAGGATCTTGCGTGTGAAATTCGCAATGGGTTTGTTTGAGAACCCTATGGCTAATCCAAGTCCGACTTTTAAGCTCGGATCGCAGGTGGGATTTCGCTCGATTCTTTTGTCGACCGCGGATATGACAAAAGGAATCTGCTACTTGATGCTTTAATAAGAGTGCTGTATAACAATGCAGGAACACAGAGAAGTAGCGAGAGAAGCAGTGAGGAAATCTATGGTGCTGCTGAAGAACGGGAAGAACGAGAATGAGAAAGTGATACCATTGACGAAGAACCCTAAAAAGATTCTGGTCGTCGGTCCACATGCCAATAACTTGGGCTGGCAATGCGGCGGTTTCACCCTCACTTGGCAAGGATTCAATGGAACCAACGTCCCTAGTAACGCCAGACTCCGTCTTCCCACCGACGATACCACCGGTAATCCCTCTCCCTTTTTCCGACATCATATCCAAATTCCAATACATATTCTCTAGTTATATACATACACTTTTTGTCAAAAAACTGGTTAAGTATGCGTGTCTGTATATATTTTATAGGTACGACCATCTTGAAAGCCATAAAAGATACGGTGGAGATAACCACCAAAGTGGAATACGTAGAGGAAGCAACCCCGGAGACAGTCAACATGCACCGGGACGCATCCTATGCGGTGGTGGTCGTTGGAGAGCAGCCGTACGCCGAGACAAAGGGGGATAACCCGACACTGGCACTCCCTGACCAAGGCGTTGCCGCGATCAAGAACGTTTGTGGTCGTGGCCTTAAGTGTATCGTGATTCTGATAACGGGACGTCCACTGGTGATCGAACCGTACCTCGACATGATGGATGCCCTGGCGGTCGCGTGGCTGCCGGGAACAGAAGGCCAAGGCGTAGCCGACGTTCTCTTCGGCGACTTTCCGTTCACCGGAACGTTGGCACGTACGTGGATGAAGAACGTGGCCCAGCTTCCTATGAACGTTGGTGACGCGCGTTATGACCCTCTTTTCCCCTTTGGGTTCGGAATCAAAACCTAAAGAACAAGATAAACACGGTTTAAAAAAAAAGTGTTTGTGTAAGTTGTGAGGAAAGCGGAATTTTATTGTGTAAATTAGTATTAATTTGTGTTACTACATATAAACATATATATATATATATATGGAGATTATTGTTTTTTTTTTTTGCAAATTCTTATGTGGACCAACAAATAAAAAAAAAGTGATGGAGTCAATCCAGCAATGTTTCTGAAACCAACACCATTGAAGCCCGTGTCCAAAAATATTCAATATAATAGTAATAGACTTGTATTAATGTGGCATTTTAACATTACTTAATGCAAAAGAAAGAAGCGGCTTTTGATGGCGATGGCGATGGCGATGGCTCTGTACTATTATTTATTTATTAACCGTACGTGTATAGCTAATCTACATACCGAATATATAAAAACAACTAATGCTGATAATGGTACGTCATAACGTTATTTAATGATCTGATTCCTGTATTTTAGGTTGTTGGGGAAAAAAAAGAATTTTCACGTGGAAAATTTTGTCGTTATTTATTGACTAGAGTAATACAGTTATGTGTGCATATGTATTTAGAAAACAAGCAATTGCTTGTATGAATAGGTCAAAATAATAAATCATCTATCGTATATTTCTATATATTTGTTTTGTTTACACATATAGACAATTCGAAGACAACTATGTGATTTTCACATCATGACGTCATGCATGACATCTCGCTGCTCTCTCTACTCTCTCTTCTATTACACATATACCACACATATAATATATAATCATATTATTATTATTATTATTATTATTATTATTATTATTATTATTATCAAAACTCAACATTTATTGCAATATTTATTAAGTCAGGTAATAAATGTATGGGGCACCAGAGTTGTTGAATTAAACAATATAATAATAACAATGTCGAATGAGTCTATTTTATTTGATCTTATATATATACACATAACAAACGTCTCACGAGATCCGGAAATTGTGAGAAGGAATCTCAAAGGGAAGCGTGGAGACAAATAATATATGATCAAAACCATATCGTATATAGTCAATCCCAACTTTCGGACTCAGTCGCTGAGAGAGACTCCCAATTTTCAAGTTTGTACATATACTGAATTTATAATCTAAATCTAAATCAATTTAATTCGCACACATTATGTATATTTTTAAAAAGTTTGGATACCCATAACTATATACATATATATATATATAACGCATTATATATATATTAGATGCTCAATACACATGTTTATGTATATATATATAACATAGTATATATAGAGATTTGTATCTGCGTATATGATATATTATTTGCATTTCCAATGTTGGAGATTTTAATAATCCGAATGGATACCCATATTTTGGGTAGTCCAACCGGTTAAACGAAGCGCAAAGTATCTGTACCACCCGAGTTTGAACTTCAAATTTGGAAAAGAAGTGTATATTCCAAAATCACATGACTAACTTTCGATCCGGGGATTAGTCTTGGATTTAGTCCAAAATATACGGTTATCCAAAAAAAATAATCTGAATGGATAGATATAAGATCTGTGGTTGAATTTGGATAGTACATGTATAGATACAGATATGGATGACAGGTAAGAAAACCATAGTATATATTAAACATATGAATGGGAAGATGGAAGGGAATTTTTGTACCCTAAGAGTGGAGTGTTTAACCAGAAACCTGCTGTAATGATGATGTTAATTAATTTAGAAAGGGAGTTACTAAAGAAGAAGAGAGACAGTTACCACTCACCAGCCAGGCAGATTCTCTGTTAGTTGGCACGTTTTTCCTGTCTCCGTACGTCTCTATCTGTGTATGTGTGTATGTGTGTGTGTATATGCTGCACGCGATCCGGATGGAGAAATCCACTCACTCGAGATAAAGATCCGATTCTGATATTACGTTTTTCGGTATCACATATATGTTTTTATACGCCCACGTTTTGGACCCTTAGATTCCATCCTTTTTTTTTCTTTCTTATTATTATTATTGTCAACATACCAAAATCAGGGATTTAGTTTTGATATATAAAAAAAAGGAATCGAAGAAATACGGAATATATGGTGGTTGGGGGGAAACTATATAACATTAATATAAATTATTGGTTTTAAGTCAATCGACGACTCCATCGAATACATTAGTCTTTTTTTTTTTATATATATATAATCATAAAATCTCGTGGAACAAAAATAGGAAAAAAGTTGTAAAGGAAAAACAAATCGAGGAAAAGCAGTGAATCATAACCGGACTGATGCGGTCCAATTGGCCATGACCACCCCCTAATCATAAAATTACGTGGCTTCTCCAATTAAATCCAAATATTATAGTATTATAGGCTTGTATTATAAATATATATATATATATATATGTATAGTAATCAGACTATTCAGTAAATGTATATATACAGTAAATGTGTGTACCTACCACCAGTGATTCTATATATCGCGGTGTTTCAATTTTGGTTCGGGGACCAACTAAGTTGCTCGTTCTGTTTTGTTTTTCTGGGTTCATGTTCGTCGTTTTCTATATATTATTTCTTCCTTCCTCTTTTTTCCTCTGTTTACTATAATATAAGTCTGGAATTAAATTTCGTCCGAAGAGCGTGAAGGAATCAAACTTCCACACGGAGCTCTTGTCCCTTTTTCTCGTTTTACATTTCTGTTCAAAGACGAACTCTTCCAACAAGACTCGTGTTCGGTAGGTCTTCTATTTATTACTTTTTTTTTTTAATATCGGAAACAGATCTCTGACACGTGGATTTGTATATTTAATAATAATTACCTGTGTATTTTGGTCAAGGTCCGCGGTGATTTTTTCCAAATATTTTTATGCAATTATGCATATTTTTTTTTATGGGACGATAGTAATTAGATTATGTGATGACAGTTCATTTTTTATTTTAATGTTTTTTTCACTGTGCATAGGCTTGGAGGAGAAACAGAGCCCATAAATGCGAAGAATCTGACCTTTGTTTTTTATTTTCTCGGAGAGTTTTCCGGGAAAATGTCTTCCTTTTATTATTATTCCTCATGGGTCTCCGACCTCTCTTGCTCGTCGGCGTCGGTCATTGACCAGACGTCCTCTGTTCCGGTGATCATCCAATGGCTGAGATTCGTCCTCCTCTCTCCCTGCCCTCAGCGCGCACTCTTCTCCGCCGTCGATCTTCTCTTCCTCCTCGCTCTCGTTCTCTTCGCTCTCCAGAAGCTCTTTTCTTCTTCTACTGCTCGAACGGAGACCAACGGAAACGCCGAAATCAGCAAACCCCTCATCGGAGGCCGCCGAAGAACCCTAACCAGAACGACCGCGTGGTTCAAAACGACGCTCCTCGTCACCTTTCTCCTGTCGTTTTCCTCTATCGTGCTCTGCGTTTTGGCCTTCACCCGGACCCAGACTCCATGGAAGCTCGTCGATTCTCTGTTTTGGCTGGTCCATGCCGTTACCAACGCCGTCATCGCGGTTTTGATCCTCCACGAGAAGAGATTCGATGCTACAAATCACCCTTTATCACTACGAATCTATTGGGTTTTCAGTTTCGTGGCCACAACTTTGTTAGCCGCCGCCGGGCTTATCCATATATTCTCCGGAGAGACCGCCGCCGCGAGGTTGGTGGCAGACGACGTCGCTTCGTTCGTCTCATTCTTGTTGTCGGCCTTTCTGCTTCTGGTGTCCATCAGAGGATCCACCGGCGTGGTCTCGGTGTCCGAGACGGAGCCGGAGTACGACGTCGTTCTGGACAATTCCAAGAATGTCTCTCTGTTCTCGTCCGCTTCGGTTTTGTCGAAAGCCTTCTGGTTGTGGATGAATCCTCTTCTGAGCAAAGGCTACAAATCGCCGTTGAAGATCGACGAGGTCCCGACTCTGTCTCCAGAACACAGAGCCGAGAGATTGGCTCTGCTCTTCGAATCCAAATGGCCCAAACCGCACGAGAACTCCAAGCACCCTGTCCGAACGACTCTGCTCCGGTGTTTCTGGAAGGAAGTCGCTTTCACCGCGTTCTTAGCCATCGTTCGTCTCTGCGTTATGTACGTTGGTCCGGTTCTCATCCAAAGCTTCGTGGACTTCACCTCCGGGAAAAGAAGATCGTCAATGGAGGGTTACTATCTCGTTCTCATTCTCCTGGTGGCTAAATTCGTCGAGGTCTTGACGACACATCAGTTCAATTTCAATTCCCAGAAGCTTGGAATGCTTATCCGATCGACCCTGATTACTGCGTTGTACAAGAAGGGTCTGAAGCTCACTTGCTCTGCACGTCAGGCTCACGGTGTCGGACAGATCGTGAATTACATGGCCGTGGACGCTCAACAGCTCTCCGACATGATGCTTCAGCTTCACGCCATATGGCTTATGCCGATGCAAGTGACAGTGGCTCTGGTACTTCTCTACGGCAGCCTCGGCGCCTCTGTCGTGACGGCCGTAATCGGCCTCGTGGGCGTGTTCTTGTTCATCTTGCTCGGGACGAAACGAAACAACAGATTCCAGTTCAGCCTGATGCGGAACCGCGATTCTCGGATGAAGGCCACCAACGAAATGCTCAACTACATGCGAGTAATCAAGTTCCAGGCTTGGGAGAATCACTTCAACAAGAGGATCCAGAAGTTCCGCGAGATGGAATTCACTTGGCTCTCCAAGTTCTTCTACTCCATATCCGGTAACATCATCGTGCTTTGGAGCACGCCCGTTCTGATCTCCGCCTTCACGTTCGCGACCGCCCTCGCTCTCGGAATCAAGCTGGACGCGGCTACAGTGTTCACGGCCACGTCCATATTCAAGATCCTGCAGGAGCCGATCAGGGCTTTCCCTCAGTCTATGATCTCTCTGTCTCAGGCGATGATTTCGTTGGGAAGATTAGATGCGTACATGATCAGCAGAGAGCTGTCTGAAGAGGCCGTGGAGAGATCCCGCGGCTGCGAAGGTCCAACCGCCGTCGAGATCAGAAATGGAAGCTTCAGCTGGGAAGATGAAGACAACGAACCCGTGTTGAAAGACATTAACTTTGAGGTTAAAAAGGGCGAGCTCACCGCCATTGTCGGGACCGTCGGATCGGGCAAATCCTCATTGTTAGCTTCAGTTCTCGGCGAAATGCATAAGATTTCTGGCAAGGTGCGAATTTATTGACCAACTTTGTGAACCGATGATTAACATTTTTATGTACGAAATGGAATTCGGATTCATAACAATGGTTTACAGGTGAGGGTTTGTGGGACAACGGCGTACGTAGCGCAGACATCTTGGATCCAGAATGGGACGGTTCAGGACAACATCTTGTTTGGTCTGGCGATGGATAGGGACAAATATAACGAAGTTATCAAGGTCTGTTGTTTGGACAAAGACCTGCAGATGATGGAGTTTGGTGATCAAACTGAAATCGGTGAGCGAGGCATCAACCTTAGCGGAGGCCAGAAGCAGCGAATACAGCTAGCTCGTGCCGTCTATCAGGACAGCGATGTCTACCTGCTTGATGACGTTTTCAGTGCGGTGGATGCTCATACTGGTTCAGACATATTCAAGGTCCACACGTTTGTGTAAATCTGAGACTGAAATCTTTGTATTTCTTTTTATACACAAAACACAAGCTGATTCTCTTTCTCTCGTGTTGTTTCTGCAGAATTGCGTAAGAGGAGCTCTGAAAGGCAAGACTATCTTGCTTGTAACCCATCAAGTCGACTTCTTGCACAACGTCGATTGCATCTTGGTATGACCTGAAACAGAATCAAAGATTCAAACTGCTACACCTATCTTTTTGTTTCGCTGGGAAAAAGATTCAAACTTTTGCCCTTCGAGACTATGAAATAGCATTGCTTTATTGCGACTTCAGGTTATGCGGGAAGGAATGATTGTCCAATCAGGAAAATATGACGAGATACTGAATTCCGGTGTGGACTTCCGGGCACTGGTGGTGGCTCATGAAACCTCGATGGAGCTAGTTGAAGCTGGCGCCAACTCTGCAGCTACGGCTGCCACTGCAACCTCAACCTCCCCCAGACCACCAATGTAAATCTGAGACTGAAATCTTTGTATTTCTTTTTATACACAAAACACAAGCTGATTCTCTTTCTCTCGTGTTGTTTCTGCAGAATTGCGTAAGAGGAGCTCTGAAAGGCAAGACTATCTTGCTTGTAACCCATCAAGTCGACTTCTTGCACAACGTCGATTGCATCTTGGTATGACCTGAAACAGAATCAAAGATTCAAACTGCTACACCTATCTTTTTGTTTCGCTGGGAAAAAGATTCAAACTTTTGCCCTTCGAGACTATGAAATAGCATTGCTTTATTGCGACTTCAGGTTATGCGGGAAGGAATGATTGTCCAATCAGGAAAATATGACGAGATACTGAATTCCGGTGTGGACTTCCGGGCACTGGTGGTGGCTCATGAAACCTCGATGGAGCTAGTTGAAGCTGGCGCCAACTCTGCAGCTACGGCTGCCACTGCAACCTCAACCTCCCCAAGACCACCAATATCTCCTGGAGTAAACTCACCAAGAACCCCGAGAAATTCAATGGACTCTCCCCGTCTAGGCGAGCTGAACGAGGAACATGTCAAATCCTTTATCGGCTCCAATGTCCCAGAAGAACACGACGGAAAGCTGATCAAGGAAGAGGAGAGGGAGACAGGACAGGTCAGCCTGCGTGTCTACAAACTGTACTGCACCGAGGCATATGGCTGGTGGGGCATTGTGCTCGTGCTCTTCTTCTCTCTGGCATGGCAGGGTTCTCTCATGGCCAGTGATTATTGGCTTGCTTACGAAACATCGGCTGAAAATGCGGTTTCCTTTAGTGCTTCGGTCTTCATACGTGTCTATGTCATTATTGCTGTTGTTTCCTTTGTTCTGGTGTTCTTTCGGTCGTTCTACGTCACACACTTGGGGCTCAAGACGGCTCAGATCTTCTTCGGGCAGATTCTAAACAGTATATTGCATGCTCCCATGTCATTTTTCGACACCACCCCCTCTGGAAGAATTCTCAGTCGGGTTAGAGAATGTTTTACCTCTTCTGTGTTCATTCATTACTCGGGTTTGTAGTCGAGGAGAGATTAAAGGTCGTGGCTTTGGAATTTGCAGGCATCGACCGATCAAACCAATGTCGATATATTCATTCCTTTCATCATGGGACTCGTGATCGCAATGTACACCACGCTTCTGAGCATCTTCATAGTTACCTGCCAGTATTCTTGGCCTACAATCTTCTTCGTGATCCCGCTCGGATGGCTCAACATCTGGTATCGGGTACGATTTTTTTTTTTTTTGTGATTCTGAAATGTTAACTACCAAGTATTATTTGATGTTTGATGTTCTAACTCGACTTTGGTCTTGAACTGCAGGGCTATTACCTCGCATCAGCTCGGGAACTAACCCGTCTGGACTCGATCACTAAGGCTCCCGTTATCCACCATTTCTCAGAGAGCATAGCTGGAGTGATGACAGTCCGGTCGTTCAGGAAGCAGGACATGTTTAGGAAGGAGAATGTGAACCGTGTCAACGCTAATCTCAGGATGGACTTTCACAACAATGGATCCAACGAGTGGCTTGGCTTCCGCCTCGAGCTGATGGGAAGCTGGGTGCTTTGCATCTCAGCTCTCTTCATGATCTTGCTTCCCAGCAACATTATCAAACCCGGTACTGTAACCTGAGTTTTCGCCTGAAATTTTGACCTTGTCAAGCATCATCCAAAGTTCTTGAAGCTTGCTTTATAGAAAACTGAACTGACCTTCTTGAGCTTTCGTTTGGTTATGGTGCAGAGAATGTAGGGCTTTCACTTTCTTATGGATTGTCACTCAACTCGGTTCTATTCTGGGCAATTTATCTGAGCTGCCTTGTGGAGAACAAGATGGTTTCGGTTGAAAGGATCAAACAGTTCACTAACATTCCCTCAGAAGCTGCCTGGGAGATCAAAGAAACCGTCCCGCCCCCGAGCTGGCCCTTCCAAGGAAATGTACATCTCGAAGACCTCAAGGTACCTGAACTTTCTTTCACTTATGTAAAGAGCTCTCCTTCAATTTGAGCGAAGAATGTGAAATGGTTTGTGGAATCTCATGGCAATACAGGTAAGGTACAGGCCGAACACTCCACTTGTGCTCAAGGGAATAACTCTGGACATCCATGGAGGCGAGAAGATAGGCGTGGTTGGTCGAACTGGAAGCGGGAAATCGACACTGATTCAGGTCTTGTTCAGGCTGGTAGAGCCTTCTGGGGGGAAGATGATCATCGACGGTATCAATATCTGCACTCTAGGGCTTCATGATCTCAGGTCGAGATTGGGGATTATTCCTCAAGAACCTGTCCTCTTTGAAGGCACCGTTAGAACCAATATCGACCCAACAGAGCAGTATTCCGACGAAGAAATCTGGAAGGTAAAACACAACTGAAAACTAAAATCAACTATTCGAAACAAACACCATGAACTGAAGAACCAAAATCTGAAACTGGATCCGTTTTCTCCAGAGCCTCGAACGATGTCAACTGAAGGAAATCGTAGCATCCAAGCCCGAGAAACTCGATTCTCTCGGTGAGTTAAACGTTCTAAACGCGACCATCGTTCGACCGATTTCGATCTATAGAAAGATACCTGAAGCGATATACTGTGTATTTTTGCGTGGCAGTTGTGGACAATGGAGAGAACTGGAGCGTAGGGCAGAGACAGCTGCTGTGTTTGGGGAGGGTAATGCTGAAACGGAGCAGGCTGCTGTTCCTAGACGAAGCGACGGCATCAGTGGATTCCCAGACAGATGCAGTGATACAGAAAATCATAAGAGAGGACTTTGAAGCGTGCACCATCATCAGCATCGCGCACAGGATCCCCACTGTCATGGACTGCGATCGTGTCCTTGTCATCGACGCAGGTATCACAATCAGATCGCCCCATGTCACATACACATACACATATACATATACATATACATGATGACTGGGAAACTATGAACCGCAGGGAGGGCGAAGGAGTTTGACAAACCGGGAAAATTGCTGGAGAAGCAGTCGGTGTTTGGGGCATTGGTGCAAGAGTATGCTCTCCGATCAGCCGGCCTTTGATGTCATTAGCTTCATTTATTCTCTTCTCTCTCTCTCTCCCATGATCCAAAGAGCCATCGGAGATATACATCGGATGAGATCAATAATCAGAGGATGCTTCCCTTTTTGATCCTTCTCCTTGTATTTCTTTCAGGCACCAAGTGTTTATTCAGTACAGAACCATTGAAACGGCGCCGTTTGGTTTCATGTTTCTAGGGTTCCACCTTCGCGCCTTTTCGGCTGCTGCTATTAATAAAAGTTTTTCAAGCCATTATAAGCCTAAGCCCCACAGATTTCTTTTATTTTAATAAATAAATCATATAGAAAAATACAGTAAGATCTAGGAGTCAAATTGGACTTTGATATACTTGAGATTAAAAAAATAACCAAAATACAATAACGACAAAAAAAATCTATAAAGTATATTTTGTTTATCAAAAGAAAATAATGGCGTAATTGAAAGAAACAAGAGATGGAAAATGAATGTGACACATATTGCCATTGGGTCCACCCATTTGATAGGAGTAATCAAAATGAAAATTAAAATGCATTGGGATTACATTTTATTATAACCCAGGTGCTCTGTATCAGTTGTATTTCAACAGAAATAACGGCCTCTGTAAATACACACGTATGAATGTATAAGCGCGTGTATATGCCGAGTTTCATTTAAACAGAGCAATGTACATTCGGAAGCAATGCAACAGAAAATTTTCCATCCCTTGTTTCTTCCTCTGCTTTACATTTTCCCGCATTTTCTCTCTAGCCAAACACCTCTCGGCTTGCTCCTGATAAGAACCCATGGCGACTGCTGCTGGAGAAGAGAAGCCGGTGATGATCGTCGGAATGGACACGAGCGATCACAGCACGTACGCGCTTGAGTGGACGCTGGACCACTTCTTCGTCCCCTATGCTCCGAATCCACCGTTCAGGCTCTTCGTTTTCTACGCCAAACATTCTTCGCCGTATCGCTACATGGAACCTTGTATTCCATCTCCTCCTCACGCTCTACTTCTGGTTTCCGTTTAATCCGTTAGATGCGCATCCGCGTATTTTCCCCGAACCCAATTATGCCAGAGTCGATCTGCAGGGATTTGATTAGAGGTTTAGGGGTTTAGATTTGGGGGAAAATCCCGTAGGATTGAATTTCGTGTTCGATTAAGATATATTAGGCTCTGAAATATCTGGGATTTGGTTGTTATTGTCGGATTGACTGAATGCATTTTGGAGCTGCAGTTGCATTGCCTATCGTGGACTCTCATTTGAAGCAGGTTGCTGCCGGAGTTATGGAAAGAGCCGAGCAAATCTGCCTCAGTAAATCGGTAATAATCACTCATGAACATCTCATTCTTTGCCATTTTTCCTTGTTTACTGGATAAACAAAATGCAAGTTGCGTTGGATTTTTTTTTATGGAGTACAACAAAATTTTTTTTAAAAAAGTATATCCATAGCATGAGTGAGCTATTGCGGAATCAATCCGTATCTTAGTTTAGTAATAACAAATCAAAGTTCTCTCTCTTAAACAAGATGTGCATGTTGATGATGATTTTACATCTCGTCAAACTTTTTGGTTTTAAGAATATTTTCGGGATTTGATTTTGGATATCGAATATCAAATGCCCTGATTGAGCATCGAGGTTCATGGAATGGGATATCGTACTTGAATCTGGTTATATCTGCCTTTTTGTTGATGTGTTTGGGTCTCCCCGGACCCCCCGCTCAACGGGATGCATTGTGCGCCGGCCTGCCCTTTATTTGGGTTTCACTTTGGTGTAATCACCGGTTAAAGCTAAAACTTGTCTGGTATTCTTAACTCGTAGGTAACTGGTGCAAGATTTAAAGTGGTGGACGGAGACCCTAGACTTGTTCTGTGTGATGCTGTGGACAAACACGCTGCTTCAGTCCTGGTTGTTGGCAATCATGGATATGGAGCTATCAAAAGGTGATTTGCTCTAATATTCTCGACCCGAGACCAATTCTGGCCTGCATCTGCATACTTTGACACAAAATGCAGGCCAACTTTTGAAACTTAGCTGCCTTGAAGAATAGAGGGGTGGATCGCATAAAGGAGTTTTATGGTCCTGTCGAATATGCGTTGCAGGGCGATTCTGGGGAGTGTGAGCGACTACTGCGCTCATCATGCGCATTGCACCGTCATGATCGCCAAGAAACCCAAGATCAAAAAAGCTAAATCTGCCTCTCCCGTTTAAACAAGCGTCAAGCTACATTGATTGATCCCATTTTTGTATATAGAATAAAACAATCTATATTCGTGCATGTGGTGTTTGTGTTTGGAACCAAAAAAGATGGAAGTTTGTGAATAGGTATAATGGTACGGACTCTGTGTCTTGTTGTTGTTCATGATTCCCCCATGGAATGATACTATTGACGTAAGAATTTCTTCATATTTGCTGGTTTCCATTTTTTTGTTTTTTGTTATTCATTTAATGCGGTTTCTTACTCAACAATTGTGGCACTAGCGTCTTTTCAGTACGATAGACGGATAGAGCCCTCTAAACGGCGCCGTTTTCATTTCTTGGCACCCGTATCTGGTGACTGGTGGTGGTTCCACCTCTCGCGCCTTTCCCGCTCCTGTTAATAATAGAAGACCATTTATTTATCGTTGACAAGCCCGACCGAATTATTTTATTTTTTATAAATAAATGAAATAAAAAACTACAGTAAGATCCAGGTGTCATATTGGACTTAAATATACTCGACATAAAAATTTAATCGAAATTTAACGACAACAAAAAATCTATAAAATTAAAATCAGATGGACTTGGCATTGGGAAAGGACATAATATATTTATTTTTAAAAAAAATGGGAATCCTATAATGCCTAATTCTAAGAAATAATGGAAAATGAATCTGGAACACACTGGCATTGGACCCCACCCATTTTTATTTGATTGAAGGAAGGAGTCATCAAGTGAATTTTAAAATGCATTGGGATTACGTTTTATAACCCAAGTCGTCGCGCTCTGTTCCTTCTCGCATCTCCTTCCGAAAAAACCTACAGAATTCAAACGAGATAGAGAAAGAAAGAATCCATGGCGACTGCTTCTATAGAAGAGAAGCCGGTGATGATCGTCGGGGTCGACCAGAGCGATCACAGCATGTACGCGCTTGAGTGGACACTGGACCAATTCTTCGCCTCCTATGCTTCGAATCCGCCGTTCAGGCTCTGTGTCGTCCACGCCAAACCTTCTCCGACTTCTGCTGTTTGCCTCGCTGGTCCTGGTATTCCTTCTCCTTCTTACGCTCTACTTCTGGTACCCGTTTGATCCATTAGATGCACATCCCTGTATTCCCGCCCGCATCCGATGATTTCAGAGTCGATGTGCAGGGATTTTGATTGGAGGTTTAGGGTAAAACCCTAACTGAACTTAATTACAATATTAATTATGAAAATAATAATAATACTCTTATAGGAAATTCCTGTAGGATTGAACTTCGTGTTTCAGTTCGTGTTCGATTAAGACGTATTAGGCTCTGAATTATCTGGGATTTGGTTGTTATTGTCGGGTTGACTGGGTGCATTTAGGAGCTGCAGAAGTATTGCCTTACGTGGAAACGGATTTGAAGATGATTGCTGCCGGAGTTATTCAAAGAGCTAAGCAAATCTGCCTCAGCAAATCGGTAATAATCACTCATTGGCATCTCATTCATTTCGATTTCGCCTTGCTTACTGGAGAAACAAAATCCAGGTTGTGTTGGAAATTTTTTGATGGAGTACAATCAACCTCTAAAATTAGTTTATCCGTAGCATCATTGAGCGATTGGGGGATTGCTAAGTGGGTATGGATATATCAATCAGTCCGGACGTCTTAGTCTAATAATAATAAATCAAAGTTCTTTCTTTTAATCAAGATGTACATGTTGATGATGATTTTACAAACTGTCGAACTTTTTGGTTTAAAATGTTTTTGGGATTGCTTGTGGATGCCCTGAGTGAGCCATGAGGATCATGGAAATCATATGGAATCTAGATATATGCTTTGTTCATGTATTTGTATTTGTCTTTGATGTACTATTGCAAAACATGATGCAAGAGAAATTCTAACATGGTGTAAATTCACTGGTTAGAACTAAATCTTCTCTTTTGTTCATTACCTGTAGGTAACTGATGCAAAATTTGAAGTGGTGGAAGGAGACCCTAGACTTGTTATGTGTGATGCTGTGGACAAACACGTTGCTTCAGTTCTGGTTGTTGGTAGTCATGGATATGGAGCTATTAAAAGGTATTTGCTCTATTATTCTGGACCGTGCTCTATAGATTAGGCTCTACTTGTGCCAAGAATGCCAAATGCTGGCCTATACTTAGACACAAATACTGGCCAACTTTGAAATTTAGCTGCCTGAAGAATCGGGGCATATAAAGGCTTAAAATGGTGATGTGGTGGCTATGATATTTGTGAAATATTTTAGAAAATGCTATGGTTTTTTCATAGTCCCATCTAATCGAGGAAACCGAAATTGAGTCTTGCCAGTGTCCATGTCCACTGCTTGCTGAAATGTCTTCCAATCTAACCCTTGGTCACTCAATTGTTGTCCTATGTATTGTTCTAGCCAAGATTATAAATTTCAGTCCCTTTTGACAAGATTGAGAATATGCATCGCAGGGCGGTTCTTGGAAGTGTGAGCGACTACTGTTCTCATCATGCGCATTGCACCGTTATGATCGTGAAGAAACCCAAGACCAAGGGTTAAGTCTGCTTCTCCCCTGTAAGTAACTATCAAGCTATATTGTTGTGATGATTGATCCCATTTGAAAACTCAATAAACAAGCTTGCCCTGATGCAAGTTCCAGACATCGTGTGGTGTGTTTCTGATGGATGTAACTGTCCTAAAGAAAAATGGAAAAAAGATGGAAGTTTGTGAGTAGGTAAAGGTATGATATCTGTGTATTGTACTTGTTCATGATTCCCCATGGAATGGTATGACGTGACAACCTCTTCGTATTTGCCGGTGCCCATACTTTGTTATTTGCTGATACCAAATGCTTTCAACTGTTTTAGAGATTAAGGAACATGGGTTTAGCTAGGTTGTAGAGCATATGATATGGTTGACCAGATCGACTTAAAAGCGTCGTCGTATAAGACAAAGGGTGCCAGACTGGTTCTATGACTAGACTAAATTGGTTGTCATGGATTTGATATCAAATTGTTTTTGTTTTTTGTGTTTTCTTTTTTTAACCTAACAGAGGCTAATTCGAACTGTGGGGATACGTTGGTTGTCACGGAATCTTTTCTCTTCTTTTGCGAAGATTAAGGATTAATCTATTCGTTATTTGTGATTACTAAGTGCATATAATTGGTCATCGGCATTCTAACTTAGCCAAAAAAAATGAATGAATTTGAGTTATGTATATCAGACAAAACGCTATGATTTGGATTCGGTATTCGCATAACTCTTTCTAGTGCCACAAGTTTGCTACGACGCCCACCATGTGACCGCTTGACAGGGAGGAGGTGCCTCTTTTCCGTTTATTGAAATCCCGACAACTACACTTCCAAAACTCTTGGAACTCGAGTATAGTTATGTCGTAATCTCTGTGGATGTGCAGGATGATGAGATTTGGCATCAAATATTAAGCGCTATAGTATCTTCGTCACACTAAAACTTTGCAAATTGTTTTATAGAACCCATGCGAATGAGTCTTACATCACTTCTTCTGCATCTTGACTGAGGTGTATCAGTTCAAACGGCGCTGATGCAAACTGTGTGGATATCTAATATTCAGAAGAATACCAATACAAATTCTTATTCGCCACAAAAAAATATTTGAAACCAGCAAATAATTTTGCTTCATATATCCGTCATTTTATGAACAATATGTTCATTATTGTATTAACTCAGAGTACAATCATACACGTATAAATGTGTGTCGTCTGTTTGGGTGGTCCATGATATATATATATATATATATATTTATAGGGTTTAGGAAAAGAAGATCAGTGAGCTAGTCTGGACAGTCACGAGGTTTGAATGTACGTTTGCACATTAATATATATATACATGGACAGATCCATTTCCGAAACTTGAAATTTGTAACCAGAAACAAAGCTTATAAAATTAATTAATTATTTAATTTTCTCTTCCTTTTTTCTTTTCCATTTCCCTTTTTCTTTACATAGAAAGTAAAGTACACAAATAGTCAGTGTATGTATGCATGATGTACCATTTGATAGTGTTTAATATATGACTAATTTGGCAAAATAATATATATATATATATATAGTGGCGGGGCCTTTCTGAGAACCGAGAACGACTTTTTTTTTCAACCAATGTTATATATCTTTTCCGAAGAAATACGCTGTCGAGATCGAAGGGGGTTATTACTAAACATGAAAAACCGAGAACGACTTTTTTTTTCAACCAATGTTATATATCTTTTCCGAAGAAATACGCTGTCGAGATCGAAGGGGGTTATTACTAAACATGAAAAAAAAAGGATCCATTTGAAAATGTTTGATCTAAATTAAGGTAAATCGATTAAGTGAGTTAATTAGCAAGACTTTTGACGTCCGACATGCATAGATATATGTGTAACATATATATATGTCGGTTTCCAAAACGGTTCAAATTCAACATGGAATTGTTTGGTTTCCTACTTTTGATGGATTTTATTTTTCCTCAAAAATCACATAATTGCTTGATCTATAACATTCTCTAATCGCGGAAGTTGATGCTGCTTTTTTTTTTTACTCATACTGAGGAGATAAATTTGGTTAAAGAATTAATGGTTTATATTCATTATCGTGTTATTCTAACCATCAAATCCAGAAACACGCTGTTAATTAATGCAGTGAACTGAGAATGAAAAAGACTGTAAAAGGAATTTAAGGTAGTTGAGAAGGTCGGAAACTGTAAGAACCAAACCCTAACTGATGGAAGGCATGACATGAATTGTCTGAAATTAGTCAGAGCAAAACCCTAATTCTTGAAAACAACGCCTGATATGTGTACACACCACCACAACAACAAAGATATATATCAAACCACAAGCCAACAAAATCATCAACCGATTATTAATTGATATCATACATATATATATATATATATGATATAAGAAGGCAGCTACTGGAACACAGAATGAAAAGTCAAGAACCAACATAGAAGAAGAGTCACTCATCGGTTAGTGGGGTGATGAGTTGCTCCTTTGGCGCTGTGAGCTCTCTCTCCTTCAATCATTCGAAATCGGTTCAAGTACTTCTTCAACTGGTCTGCATAGTTATCAAACCCTAGATTCCCCAAGGCCCAACAAATATCGTCGCCGTTCACCGTCTTCCTCTTCTCCTTGTGGCACTTGTCGGAAGCCTCTCCCGTGACGAAGCTTATGAACTCCGATACGCATTCTTGCATCGTCTCTTTCGCCTCTTTCGAGATCTTTGCGTTGGGCGGAAGAATGTTCTTCATGATCCTTCCCACGTTGGCTATGGGAAGAAGCATGTCTTGTTCTTTGATAACGTTCTCTTCTTCTTCTTCTTCGACTATATTAATGGCCTGAGGAGGAGGAGGAGAGATCTTGTTCTTGCTGTTGCTGTTGCTACTGCTCCCACCAAAATTAAAATCGTGGTATATGTGGAAAGAATCTTGGAAATAAGGGTTCCCCGCCATGTGAAGAACAGATGAGAGAAGATCAGACAAGATCGATGTACCATGTGAGATCTACGTTGCCTACTCTTTTAAAGAGTCTCCGAGTGTTTCTTTAATTTCCGTCTCTTTCTTCTTTGCTCGTCTACACTTCAAGAAAAAAAAAAACTTGCATCTTTTTCTATGAGTTACATTAATTACGCGATTATAAATTTTGGAAATATTCGTTGATACATACATGTAGACGAAGAAAGATATACAATAATATAAATGTATATGCGTACGTACGTACATGACTATGTATATGGTATTGTACGTATGGGGAGAGAATGTCAGACGTTTAATTGTCTGGAGGTGACGACGTGGCAGGGTGACCAAATAGCGAGGCGTAGGTCACCACCATCATTGGGAGACAAAGTGGCAGGTCAAGTTTCTTGTGTTGGTTGAATTAGTGATTAGAGTCTTAATTCCTTCCCCCCCCACCATGTGACCGAGCACCACAATATTTTAATTAGCTTTTAACAGAACATAACATCTCAACGGTAGAAATTACTGAGTTAATCTCTGTATAATTAAACATACATTGAGTAATTTGTTCAATGTGTGTGTATATATACATGCATGTGTGGTTGGCAGATGGTAATTATAATGGAATGAGCTAAGGAGGGTACACTAACTAATAATTAAGAGCCTCTAATCGTGTCTTGAATAATCTTGGATTAAATTATACACTAAGGTCGAATATGTGGACATCACGTTTTTATGTATACAGTTGTAGTGTATGCCAAAATAAAAAAAGCCTAGCTACTATATATAGCCTTACTCCTTTAGGTTCACTCTTTCTAATTGCGTACTCTGTTTCTCTTGGCCTTTAAACCATATCTTTACATAATCATACATTTACAAGATCAAAGAATAAACATTAATTATTTGAAGAGATAAAAACATATATGAAGTATGATGATATATCTCCATGTATATGAATCATCTTTAAATGAAGCAGAGTCTTAGCGCATCGGTTAAAGTGTTGCCGTTGTAATCTAAAGATCACGCGTTCGAGTTCTGGAAACAACCTATTTTCTGTAGAGTAAGGTTTGCCTATAATACACCCTTGTGGAAGGATCATTCTCCGAACCCTGCTCAACTAGATGTTTTGTGCACCGAACTGTCTTTTATATGCGCTTGTGAATTAAGCACGAAGGAAAACACATACTAAAAAAGTAAACGAGGAAAGGAGGAGGATTTTTGTTGTCCTAGAAGTACGAGATTGATTTTCCTTAAACAAAACTAAGCCAAGTGTTTAATAAGAGCTACTCTTAGATTTCTTAGGAATGATGACAAGTGTCGGTCGATAGTAGAAGATCGGACCACAAACATGTAGGCGTCATCAAATTATTTACTTTTTTGATTTATATCATCCATTCATATATATATATATATATATGCATGATGACGTCTCTCTCTCTATATATATATAATTAGGACCCCGCTCCAATCGACATTAATTACAATCATATTAATTACAGCCCCTAACCGTCTAAAAGCCAGTAACGAGGAGTCATTCTCAGAGCTCGGTTGGGAAGTAGGGATCAGTTTATTCATGTAATATATATATATATTTAATTAGATTTGCAATATTATTCTCAATAATTACCTTGGGAAAAGCAAGTACTCTTATATTTTTATTTGTCAAGGAATATATACCCTATATGTATATGTCCTACATCGATTTAAACACACGCATATATATATATATGATCTTGTAGCTGTTGATTTCCGGAATATATAACTTTTTATGCCCAGTTGCAAAAGTTAATAGTAAACTATATATATATATATACGTACATGAAGTCATGTGAATCTAAACGTATATATACCAGTACATGAGTAATGGAGCATGTGATTACTGTTCGTCCAATACGTGTGGTCCATGCATAACCATATGTTTTTCTTAAGCTAAGTACACAAAAAAAAAAAAAAAAAATTGGCATCGCTTGCGTTTGTTTGTTAGTTTATTCTCCTTAGTTAGCCATGGAGAATCGAGAAGAAGAAAAGAAAACATCAACCGAAGAATATAATAATGTAAAGACATGCTTTATCACTGATTTTTGGAGGACCATTATTATTTTGTTTATTTTCAATTTTTTTTTTTATTAAATTGTAAAGTATAAATGTTTGAATTAAATTTTATATGCTGTCCTTTGATACATTTTTTAACGAGTGGAGCATGACTATGGTACTATATTTTAAAGTAAGAGTAAAACAATATAATATGCCAAATATCTAACCGTGATTTCATTTTAATCATTATTTTTTGCAATATATATTATATACATATATATGAGGGACTTGAAAGATGATTACAAAGAATATATATATATTGGCAGTGAACAATGACTCAGGTCGATTCTCTCCAACCTCCATACCCCACAACTAAAAAACGATTTCTAGACACAAATTGGGTAATCAAAGTGAGTTAACCTAACCTAATTAAGGAACCAAATGGTACGAGATCATATATTTAATCAATTGATTCATTAGTCAATTAATTAATCGACAAAAATTTTAGACTTGTTAATATATATATACATATATGTATATATAATTAGTGGGCATCTTAGATGAACTGAACCTTAGGTTGATTTGAATCTGAAATAAAAAAGATATGAAGTGGAGGGAACCAATGTTATCAAAGTCTAAACGTTAGAGGAATATATATATTCTACTAAGTAGACGGCAAATATATTATAGTGCTTGTTTATACGTATACGAAGAAGCTGGATTAAAACTGATTTATGAGAATTTCTTCTTGTTGTTTTCGCATATACCTAACTTTTGTGATTCCGTGGTAATCTAAGTCAGATATGCCACCTGAAGACACGAGATGGCTCCGGTCCCATGTTTCATTATTAATTTCATTTTGTTTATATCTATGTAACTACTCCCGACCTATATCAATTAATTATATATGAAAACAATTATATATATATATATATGTAAAAGAAGGTCCATTTGAACCCGTCAACAAACAATTTTATATATATATATTTTTGCCAACAAAAATGTAGATATATCATGTCGAGTGATGAATATATATGTATTATATATATATATATAGTGAATATGTGATTCGAAGAATTTACATTGTTCTGGGTTTAGTGTTGTGATACTTGGAAACGGAAAATTACGCATCGTTCCAAACAAAATGATATAAATATATTAATATAGAGCGTGATAGATAGGTAGGTAGCTAGGGGTGGGCACGGATCGGATATCCGGAATTTTTTAGATATTTGTATCCGTATCCGATCCGTACAAATATCATATTTTGTTATCCGTATCCGATCCGTAGTTTTCGGATATCCGCAATTTCGGATATCCGTAAAAACTACGGATATTTGCAAATATCCGTATCCGACACAAAAATAATAAAATTAAAAATATAAACTAAAAAATTAAAACAAAAATAAAATATATAATCTATCAAATACAAAACGATATTCAAATCCAAAATACATAACATAAACATTCTAAATCAAACCAACAACGAACATAATCATAATTTGAGTTTTCTGCTACATAACCGGCATAGACACAGAGTTTGTCTTCTTTGTAATCGGGACCGAATTGTTGGTAGGCGTCTTTGAGTTTTCTGCTACATACTCCATCTAAACAAAAAAAATAAAAAAAATAATGAGTTCCACAAAATTAGCGGAATACAAGAAGCCTACATGTATGTATAATGTCGACGCTGTTTGTGATAGTTTTAATGCATTTTTAACATGATCAAACAAGAGAAGAAAAAAATGTGAAGTATCGAGAACAATGTCCAGATTCTTATTTAAATTTTATGGGAAAATAATATGAAATTATATAATTTTATAGATAAATCCTAATCTTAATTTTGAAAACCTAAGACACATAAACACATGCACTTGTCCTTCTCTCTTCTGGGTTTGGAATTCGCCAAACACAACACGTGAGGTCACCTTCTTTGCATTAAAACCGCCTCGTGTCCCCCCTGTTTTTTTTATTTCTTTTGATTAATTAATCTATTTCTCATTATATATATATATATATATATATATATGATATAAAAAAATGGATAGGCTCTGGATCAATCAACATTACAGCGGATTTGTTTAGCTTACGAATCAAACAACGGACTAAACTAGATATATCACGAAGAGGGAGAATTGTCGGAACTTGGAAGGAGAGAAAGAGTAGAATCGGCGACGGGGCGTGGAGGATTGGGAAGGACGAAGGCGAGGGAGTGCCACCGGAGGAGAGCGGAGCGACGGAGCTCTCGTAGCGGCGGAGGCGAAGAGAGAATTAGCGAAGACCGAGAGAGGGAGAGAGAGACCAAGAGTGAAAGCGGCGAGAGAAACAACTCACGTGTTGTTGACAAAACCCTAATAAGTTTTATTTTTTATAAAGTTACCCTTACATATAAACTAATTACAAAATTAGCTATATATTATTAATATTACTAAAAAGTACGGATCGGATCGGATATGTCGGATATTTTTATTTTGATATCCGTATCCGATCCGTATCCGACAAATATTTGGAAATTAATATCCGTATTCGATCCGTGGACTCCGGATATCCGAATTTTCGGTTCGGATACGAGTCAAATAACGGATCGGATCGGTTTTTTCGGATATTATGCCCATCCCTATAGGTAGCTGTATTATTATAACATTTTGATTATTTTCTTGCAATAAAAGCCCATGGGCTTTCTTTAACATTTCCACTGTTGTGGGCCTTGGGCCTGACTTTTGAGTTTTTGTGATAGATAGCTGTTGAATGATTTTATCTGCAATAAAGCCCATTGGGCTTTCTGTTAACACTTTAATGGGCCTTAGGCTTAGCCTTGAGTTTCTGGAATGGGTCTAATCCACATTTTTAGAGAGAAGGGATCACGAAGAGACACCAGACGACCTTGTGCGTGTATAAAACGGCTTTCATTTTTTTTTCCTCTATCGATGGTTTTTATATTTTGTAACAAACGTAAATTCGTATATTGGAATTTTTTGTTGTTTTAAAATTAATATTTTGTTTTTGTTTAGTGGGTAGCTCAAGTTATTTTGGGAAAAAATCATGAAAGTTTTATAGCAGGATTAACAAACATAAATTCTACAAATAAGTACATCTTTCACGCAGATATATTAACCAAGCATTGTGACGGGGAATGTCTCTTCTTTATCAAAATTACATACTACAAAAAAAAAATTTATATAGGATACATTATAATTAATATGTTAGTACATCTATATATCTTAAATATTATTTAAGATTCAAAAATGGATATATTTGTAACGATAAACAAATTATTTTCCACAGTTATATTGATATTATTCTTTATATCGTCAAAATAATACTTACAGCAATATGTATATGTTTGGTATGTTCCCTGTAATAACTTGAGATCCTTATATGACCGTCGTCATATATATATATATATATATATATATAATCACCAACTAACCATTTTCTCATCAAATTCGGTTGACCATATACATTAGAAAAAAAAATAGTTTGGATGAATATGAGAATTGTTGTTCAATTTGGAATTTTTAATTCAACGCAGAAAACCCCCAAATAAGACTAGAAAAAACCAGCGGATATTTTGTTCATTGCAATGCATCCTTCTATTAAATATTATATTACTAATTCTTTATCTAAATAACAGAAACAACATAATATACAGTAATGCGTTCTTCGTTTTGTCCATTTCAGGATTTTGTGTCCGTTTATTATTGATAGTGATTGTTTATTCGTTGACTGACGTAAATTATTTATATCTAGTATTTAAAAATTTATATTAATAACTTCCGATATTTTTTATATTTTCACGAAACAAGTAAATGAAATGTTTTTAATCGCCCACCGCAATTAGTTTTTTTTTATATTTTATATACCATTTAAAAACAGTAAATAATGCGGAGGCCCAGAAGACTTTCACCGAGTGTGTGTTCATTTTCATTTGTCATGAAAGTTAAAACCGAACGACTAAAATTACGGAAGTAGGTCCGACAAATCCAACTAAACACTGATGGTATATGGGCTTTTTCGTAAAACTATGTCCATGTTATCAGGGCCCATCCATCTACGGGAACGCGTGGTCTCACGCTCTCGTAAATTCCAAAAGAAAATTAGAAGGCGCAAAATTCATCATATGGACATGTAGAATACGATGTTCACACACATATATATACATATGTATGCGTGTGTGTATAGATGGTTTAAGTTATTTATTTTTCTCCAATTTATTTATTTTCGTTGTCTTCCTCTCGCTCTTCTTCCAAGCCTGCGAGAATTCGCAAGTTTCGTGTCGATGCAAAGCTGAGTTCTTCTTCATACGAGGTAAATCTGAAAGCCCTTTCCTCTACCGCGTCTTTCTTCTTCCTCTTCCTCATCGTCTCCTCCTTTTAACGTGTTTGGTTTATTTTTTGCTTTTTTTTTTCTTGTTTTGTCTGTTTCCCCGTTTGTTTTTCCTTTTGTTGTTCGTATCGTTGTTCTTGGGTTATAAGAATCACGCGAAGTTGACATCTAGATTCAGTTAGATTCATAGCCTTGGGTACCCATTTTTCCAGGTTTTTCTTTTCTCGACGTGGGTTTTAATGCTCGAGTTCTGCCATGGAGGTTAGCACAAGTTCCTCTTCCCTCTTTCTCTCTTATCGGAATGTATACGCATATGTGAATATGTCTGTATATACGAGGTTTTGATGAAGTTCTTCCCCAGCTCCTTCACAAGGGTTTACCTTTTCTCGTTTGGTTTGTCTTCGCTATGAATCGAGCAGCAGTTGCGTCGATTTAGTTTGTTTAATGCTGTTGGAAGATTCTCGTTTACGGTTTTGTCGGGATTATTACGAATCGGGTTGGTTTGTTTCGTCCCTTTAGCTGTATTAATAGGTGATGAAACTGGACGATGTCTGAAAAACGTCAGCTTTGGGCTTCGGGATTGGTCATTAATGTGATTTTGTCTTGGATTCTGGTCGTCTTCGTTGAGTTTGAGGATTGAAGTTCATCAGATTACCTGCATTGTCTTCAATGTTAGGGTTCATCTTTTTGTATGACCTTGAAGTTAGAAACCTGAGTTAGCATTGCTTATTCATATCTCATTGTGTATGGTTCAGAAACAATTGACAAACGTAGTAGTTTGTTTGTTTTTTGGGGTTTGATTTTCTTGGTTGATTTGTTCAGATGGAGCCAATTCGTTCAGATGACATGGAAGGCTTTCATCTTGCTGATGAATCCTCTGAGCAATTGAATTCACCATATTCTTCATATTTCAATGGACTTTACGGAGAACCCGAGGCACTACCTCGTGTTGGAGATCAGTATCAGGCAGAAATCTCAGATCTAATCCCAGAAGATGATCGTTTAAAGCTCATTAGCCGTGGCTCATCCGAGACTTATCCACGGAATCCTTTCTCACTCGGTTTGCCAATCCCACTTATGTGGACAAGAAGTGAGAAATTTAAAGGTTTCCATGAAACTAATGCGGACTATGTGCCACATGATAATGACCCTTTAGCGAAAGCCGATGATCAAGCGGCTAGTAGCAAAGTGAGGACTATTGTGCTGGCATTGCCTTGTCAAAGAAACATTAAATTCAAATTTGAATGGCTTGACAAAAGCATCAACCCGTTCCCTGGGACATTGGGGGATTCTTGGGAAGACGCGGAGCAAAAGAGGCTTCTCCTCGGCCTCTACTGTCTCGGGAAAAACCTTGCCTTTGTACAGAGATTTGTAGGGAGCAAAAGTATGGGAGATGTGCTGTCATACTATTATGGCGGATTTTACCGGTCTAGTCAATATAAGAGATGGGCAGATGGACGCAGTTTGAGAAGCAGGCGGTCTGTCCAAGGCCATAAGTTATTTACAGGTTGGAGGCAGCAAGAACTGCTGTCTCGGATATCATCTCATGTACCTGAGGAATGCAAGAGCATGTTGCTCGAGGTATGGCATTATATAGAAAACTAAGAACTATCTCTAATTGCATTAAAATTCAGATCTCTGAGCTAATCATAACCTTACTTTTGTTTCATTCTCATCGATTCTTGATTACATCAGTCGCGCTCACAGCGATCTCGGGAATATATAGGGCTAGAGTTTTGGCTTTGGTGATAAGGAAAATCATGAACCTTCTTTTTCTTTCGTAGGTATCTAAAGCATTCAGAGAAGAGAAAATAGCATTGGAGGAGTATGTGTTTGCTTTGAAAAACGCATGTGGAACTGATATACTTATAGAAGCGATTGGTATAGGTAAAGGGAAGAAGGACCTCACCAATGGTGCGTTAGAGCCTCCCAAGACAAGTATGGCAGCCTCTGGCAACTCTGAGGTGCCGATAGGCAAAGCTTGCTCATCACTCTCACCTGCCGACATTGTCAGGTACTTAACCGGAGGATTCAGGCTGAGCAAAGCTCGTTCAAGTGACCTTTTCTGGGAGGCAGTATGGCCACGTCTGTTGGCGAGAGGGTGGCATTCTGAGCAGCCGAGAGGCCATGCGAGGAATTCTCTGGTTTTCCTCATTCCAGGAGCCTCAAAGTTCTCCAGGAGGAGAATGGTGAAGGGAAATCACTATTTCGATTCTGTCACCGATGTCTTGAACAAAGTGGCCTCAGACCCTACGCTTCTTGAGCTTGATGCTGAGACGATTAGAGATAACGGGAAGAGAGAAGAGAAAAATGGGAATGACGAGATGATAAGTTCAGACGGGTTTGATGATTCTTCTCCTAACAGCAAGAGGCAGAGGTATCTGCAACCACGCAGAACTAGTAGTAAAAACCTGGATGTCTTGATGTTTACGATTGTGGATACGAGTACAATATATGGTCCGGAGAGATGTATGTTGAGAGAGATGAGATGTTTGCCCGTCGAAAGCGGTGTTTCATCATCAACATACTCACCAAACTTATCAAGTGAATCTGAGGATAACTTGTCAGAAGATTCTGAAAACGAGGCAGAGAGGAAGTCTAAACCAACAAACATGAGAGCATGTGGTGATTCTTCTGTTTGGGCAAACGGGGCAAAACTCAGTTTTTGTAAAACCAGCTCCTTAAACGTGTCAACAGGAACTGTTGTGAGTAGGAGCTCTGTTTCTCTCAATGAGAATCGACAGAAGAAGAACCGGAAAGTGAAGCCAAACAGTCCAAAGAGTTTATCCTTTCGTGGCAAAAGGAGTAGCTATTCGGGTGAAACACTGTCCAGGAAGAAGAAAACGAAGAACAAGGAAAGACAGATGAGACCAAACTCACAAGATGCACATCAAGATGTAATAGTGAGAGATGAAAACAGAGACGAGGCGTGTAAACTGTACTCAGACAGTTCTATTGCAGAAGGAAGCTCTACTGTAAGAAATGCAGATGTCACCACTACCTTCCAGAGGCACATGTCGATGGAAAACCATGAAACTCGCGAGCATTTGGACACGAACGTTGCTCAAGTCTTAGAGGGGCATGAAGCTGAAAGCACAGTTGTGGCTGAGACTGTGCAGAACGGTGAGAGCTCTCAGTCATCTGTGAAAATGAACATTGAAGAAGAGCATACTGGACGGAGGCAAAGCACAAGGAGCCGGCCATTGACAGCCAAGGCCTTGGAAGCTTTTGCCTTTGGATTCCTTGGGAGCCCGAAAAAGAAGAAGAGAAAGGATATGGATGGGTCGAGAGACAACAGATCATCAAGATCAAAGTCCACAAGACGCCACCACACGGTCGTGACCTCCGAGTTCAGAAACGGCACTGTAAATGACGTTCCAAACACTGTAGAGACTGACACTGAGGTATGAGGGTGTTGTTAGTGTTAAGGGATAGAGAGAGCTTTGTAGTCAGCCATGGATAGGCATTGATGACAGAAGAACTTGGTCGGAAAATGACGGTGCTGCTAATTTCAAGCGCCAGTAAAAGCATTCAATATATATAGCCAATACTAATAGTAATATTTTCATGGTTTAAAAAAGACATCAGAGTTACCTCGTTTTGTGTCCTCTGTTTCTGATTGATAGGAAGAAGACATGGTGAAGTCTGTTATGTTGTTCTTTTTTATCATTTTGAATACAGAATCAATGCAGTGCTCATCACAGGGCATCACTGTCCATCCCTCTCTACAGACATCACTTAAGGAACACTTTCGACACATTTTTTTTTTATTAGATCATATAATAAGATGGTGTATTTTCACTATCTTTGGGGAAAAATGTACAATAAATTATACATCAGGAAAAATGACAACATGAAGTTAAAAACTTTTGTTTTGAGTTTAAAACAGACAACTCTTTTTTCGCAACATGATCATATATATATAGGAGGGAAGAGGACCAGATCGGATGGGGGGCCAGGCTTTGTTATGTCTAACAAGAGAAAAAAAAGTCGCCGGAAACTGCACCTGAAATCAGCAGAAGTCACAGAGTCACAAACATGGGGAAACTTCACCAAAACATTAACAGAAGGAATAATCTCTAACACTATGATTATCACTTACCTACGCGCCAGTGACAGGGGCCGTTGACCCTGTCGAAGGCTTCTTCGGCAAATCAAGTTCGGAAAACTCCATACTGATACTTTTCCTATTTACAGAAAAACCTATCATTTCCAAGAGACGACAAAAAGATCAGATGATTTTCTATGCATGTAATATCAAATGTCTGTGTATGGTTCAAGAGGAAACTCTTTCTTACCTCAGGAAACTAATTAGCATGTGGCTGACAAAGGAAAGCTACTACTAACGAACTCTTCAACTCTTGTATGTGTGTTTTCATCTCCTTTCTCTCGGAATCTCTAAGCAGTTTATTTTGGCTGACAACAGTTGGAATCTGCAGAAGCGTGTTTAAATAGGTTAGCAGAGATGAAAGAATAACTTGCAGAACCAATAACTGGGAATGAGGGAACAACAAACTAACCTGATACCAGAAGCTGCCTCTCTCTGTCTCTGTCTCTGTCTCAGTTTTGGTTAGCTAAAAAAAGAGCCCAGTATCCCCGTCAACACACTGGGAATTCTCCCAATTTTTTTAGGCAAACAGGAAACTTCCCCAGAAGGAAAAGGCGTGGAAATGGAATTCTAACAGTCAACTACCTAAACCATGATTGCTCCGCCTACACGCACACACTACGACTTGTAACTGATTTTGAAGGGCCACAAGTCAATCAGAATCTGTTATTTATCCCTTTTCCTCTCAGCCCCTTGTTCATTCTTCCTTGATAGTGTAAGAGAAAGCCAAATGTCGAAGTTTCTTCCTCTGCCTACCAGAAACCACTTGAAACAAAGTTCCACTGGTTCAGTGAACAAACCACTTCTTGGATTTGTACACGTCACCAGATCCATAAAAAGATGCTCACAACGCAGCTTCTGAACGTAAATAGATGCAGAGCAGCTGGCAAGGCGGTGCAGGCTCTTTCCCATTGGATTTCATGAATAAGCCAACAGAAATCTGCCTCTTCTTCTCAGTGCTCATCCTGAGAAAATAGATAATTTATTTTCTTTTGGTATTTCAGCGGTTGTTGGCCTCCATTGCTAGCCTTACTAAACGCAGCAATCCCTCTATGTCTTGGAAGTTGTAATCAAGAGCCCTTTTAATGGACAGAATACCCTCTCCTTGTTGGACCTCTCCCAAGTTCCCGATAGAAGCAGTCAAAGCAACACGTGATTTCCTCGAGGCATCCATAGCAAGACTTACATCCTGAGCCTGTCAAAGAACAGGTAAAAGTTGCCAAGTTCATTCACACTGGCCACTTCCACTGAGATAGGAATTCCACAGCTGACAAGGCATATAACTTAATTTTCCATGAAATTACGACTTCTAAATCTGTGCATAGCTGATAATTATGAGTATGCAGGAGTAATAATCACTTACAAATTGAAGCAACCGTAAGAGGTTGGAGCGGTTTTGGGCAGTGATGATGTGGTTTCCAGCAACTAACGGAGAATTAACACCTTTTGAGGTGCCAACTTTGTCTGCTGTTGCTGGATGGTTCACGTTATCAACATCAGAGGCAGAAGAAGAAGGAGACTCACCTAAAAGGTAACAATAAGAGCATTAGCATGCTAGAGATTATCGATGCATTAGAAGTAACGGATTGACACAGGATGTGGTGTGCCAACTAGATTACCTGGAGGAACCATTTGTAAAGAAGTTTGCAGTTCATTTCGGTATCTGTTAGCACTGGTATAGGAGGAATTGACCACTCTCATATATGCTACCTCCATGCATTTGTATGCAAGAGCAGCAGCTCCCATATCTCTGGACTTCTCATACTCGTGGGCACAAAATCTATCACAAAAGGGTGGCAGCAATTACAAGACGACAGAGGAAAAAAGAAAATTTCTTCTTTTTCCCTCACAATTCTAAATTACCCGCAAAGATTTGCTGTGCTACTATAAATCTTCATAGATTGGACCATCGTCTCTCCTTGCCTAGCACTCTCATTGCTGCTCATTTCTAGGAGAAAAGCACCATGAAGGAACTTGAGGCAAGCCTGGAAGTAAAGCTCAATGTGCTCGAGGTTTGATACAGTGTTCTGCAAACACGGGCAACGCCGTTAAGAAATGCAACGAAAAAATGAGGCCGGAACATCACAATATGATGCTCTGACATATGAGAAACCCATTATATGAACCTTGAGACGATCCGCCGTATGTTTCAGGTCTTTAGCTTCTTTTAAAGCATTGTGAGCAGCCTGAGAAGATGTTAATTCCTTCCGCAAGGGGCTCGGAGAATGCTCATTCTGCAAGGAAGTTGCCGAATTGTTCTTCCTTCTTATTTGAGCTGTTGCCTTTGGCACATCATCAGCCTGAGAGCTAGTGCCAGCTGATGTGCCACATTTATCAACTTTTTTCAGCGCAGATAGCAGAGACGGATGTCGAACAGCCGTCTCATCTTGGACACTTCTAGAAGGCGGCCGTGACTGAGAAGCTTCCCTTTCTGAGACTATGTCTGCTTTATTACTCTTTTCAGACGATGTTCTTTCAGCAACATCGTAGTGTTTTGGGATGTTTGGTCTCACTGAATCTACTCTACCATTGGGGCTACCATGCGCACCAACATCTGCTTGGCCTTCTGTACCCACCTTCAAAAATTTTCCTTCATACTTTTTCTTTTCAATATGTCTTGGACCACCCTGTGAATCAGACATGATGCTTTGGTTCTTGTCTTTGGACCGAGAAGATGAACCTTTTCCAGACTTCCTTGGCAAGGATCCATTACTATGTCGTTGATCATTAGTTTGTCTTACTTCTTCATGGGAATGGTCAAGTTTCCGCGGCAAATCATTCTGGCCATCGTTCTCAAAATCATATCTTTTGGCATCAAGCGACGGTTCACCACGCTCTTTGGCTTTCAAACTAGGCTCTTTATCCCAAAGATCAACCATAGGAGACTCATGCGATCCATGTTTGTCTTTCATCAGAGATTGCGACCTCACACTCCCACCATCTTCTTCACCATCTGAGAATCTTCTCAAACTAACTGCCGAGAGAATATTAACATCGTGAGGGTCTTCTTTCTTCCTTCTGATTGATCTACTTTTCTCTGGGTCAGAAATTCTCATAGGTGAAGAAGATACTGACTCAACAGGTGAACCTTTACCTTCATGGATACTGTTTTTGGCTTTATGGGAATCAGAAATCTTAGAAGAACTTGAAGTGGCAGCGACTGAGTTTTGAACATGTCCAAGCTCCCTTTTCAACTGACTTTTACTTTTCTTTTCCAGCTTTGCATTGCCTTTAGTCAAACTAGACTCCTTTTCCTCATACTTCGAAATTCGAGCTTTCTTTTGCTCCTGATTCTTGATCTCACGTAACTCCCCCTTGTACACTTGAGAATCATCGTTATTTTTTAATTTCCTCTTCCTCTTGGCTTCTGTGCCATCGCTGTTCCCCATGTCTGACGATCCTTCCTCTTTTGGTCTCTTGGATGAGACTTGAGGTTTGTGCTTCTTATCAGTCTCTGATTCCTTCGAATGGTCAAAATATCTCCGTCGGTCATTATCTGTTGACACAGCAGGCACACCACCACTTGAGCTAGGGCGGCCATGCCTCATGCTACCATATTCACAACCCTGATCATGGTCAGAAAACAGAAAACTTTCAGTCTTCATCTTCTTGGCTAGTATAAAACTCTCTCGATCAGCATCCCTTTTGCTCTTGATCTTCAAACTCCTCGAATCACCTGCTCACATATTGACTCGTGGACTTCAGAGCATTTATAAAACTAAATTAGCTAAACAGATTTGAGTAAACTTTTCGGGAGTAATACCTCCATCAGAGTGCTGCTCCGCGACTTTTGCCTTCTCTTTCTGTTTATGCTTTTGCTTCTCTTCGTTCAAGTCACTAAGCCTGCCCAAATCGGATTGATTTACAAATTCAGAATGGTTAATGTTTCCGTTTCTTGCTGATGCTTGTGCAGTCTTCTTGTTAGTTTCCGCTGTTCGAGAACCTTCTTTGCCCATTCCATGAGGTATCTCTTTCAAACCCTTTTTCCTCCTCTTTGTGAAGTCATCTCCCTGATTAAACTGAGAACTAATGCCCATTGGGTTACTCTGCATGGCAGCTTGACTATTGTGGGGAGGGACCTGATACATTGCCTGTAGAGCCTTTGTTGTTTCATCTTCAGGGACGTTGCAATTGTTCATTTCAGGCCTAGAACACACATTACAGCAAATAGCATCAAGTTCCTCTCAATAGGTAGACATACACAAAACTTCGGTTCAGGAGAAGGGCAATGGATGCAACTGAGCCACCGAGCCAAGTTTGGTAAGGAGAGTACTCTATGATACTAGCTAAGTGTCATATCTTCTCTAATCATCTAACAAATCATGCAAGAAAAATCTACATGAAATAATGAAAAACAAGTGACAAAAAAAAGACACAGAACTTACAGCCAATTAAGCATAGTGCACAACCACTTCTCAGGAAGGTCTTTCGGCAAGATGCCAAAAGGAAGAAGCCTCCATTTTCCACACTTGTCACAAGCAACCCAATGTTCTTGAATGAACAGAGGATTCAAATTTGCAAGAGAAGCATCAGATCCAGGTTTGCTCAAGATGGGAAGGGCAGCATTCTGAACTTCTTTTGGAAGAGATTCTGTCGGTGGAAAGTTTGTTTTCTCATATACATCATCCACCAAAGTTACTACTTTGACTGATTTCTGAGAACCCTTCACTTCCAATGAACAGCCATTATCCTCTTCTTCAGATTCCTCCATGTCTCCGAAAAAGTCTTTGTAAGTGTCCTCCGCCTTTCTTGCATCTTTTTGTGGTTTGGAGGCTATCACTTCCTTTCTGGGAGTGTGACAGTCACCTTGATCATTCTTCTTAGTGTCTAGCACACTGGAGCTTCGATTTTCCTTCAACTTCGTTTTTCCTCCCGACGACAATTGAGGCTCCTGCTCTTTGAGAGACTTGGCAACATCTTGTTCGTTGGTGTTATCTCTTTGACCAGCCTTCTGTTTTCTCAAAGAATCTTCAAGATCTGCCTTATGACCACTTTTAGCCCTAGAAGCACCCGAGTCAGTCTTGGCTGAGCCTGAAATTCTCCTTCCTTTATGTTTGCCTTCTTTCCTTGAGTAGTCTGAAGCAACATCCAAGGAGCTAGTTTTATTGTCTTCCTGAACACTTCCAGCCGAATTAGTCCTTGGATTCTCATCCAATCCAAGATCTTTGTGTTGAGTTGGAACCCACAATCCTCTCTCTCCATCATCCACAACTTTGCTCCTAACAATGCCATTAGAGTTTTCCTCGACTGCATCAAATAACTTAATATTGGATTTTGTTGTGTCCACAGCAATAGGATATGATGTGTCAGTTTCAATCTTCTTTCCTGCGGCGTCACTTCCATCCAAAAAATTCTTCTTATTGCGGCCATTTGACTCCGCAGAAAAGCTCTTCCTCTCCACTGCTTTTAGTTTCTTCTCTGCCAATGGTTTCTCTTCCCCATATTTAGGTTCCGAACCATTTACCATAGCATGAGAGCTTTCAGTGAAAAGCCTGGAAGGAGGTGTATACTTATCATCCGTATGGACCTTTTCGCTTTCAACAAATCGGATGAGTTCATCAGAAAGAGGTGATAACAGATGATCCTCCACAGGAAGGGAAGTCATGACCTGCATTAAGCATCAACTCGATAAGCATCTCAAGAAAGGGAACTATTTCATGATCTGAACAGAACAGCATTTGTTGGGAGATCTTACCATAAGAATACTAGTAGGCGACTCAAATGGAGAATCCCTAGGTTCACGGTACATCCCTTCACTTTCTGAAAGGCTATTATCAAATGATGAAGAGGGCGAGACATCAAGACCAAGGCCACTGTATATCGCAGCATTCTTTTCCCCAGGCAGGCTATCTGATCCCACTTTGATCCGAAGTTTCAATGAGTTCTGTTTACTGAAGATAACAGGTTTCTTGTTTGCAGATTCCTGTCTAGAATTAGAAGTCTCCGCATGATTGGATTTCTTGGATTTTATTGATTTTTTTTGGTTTGCAGAACCAGTTGATGATAGAGCCTTTAAGGTGGAACGAGACGAAACGCTTGAGGAAGCATTCCCGGGTCTCACTTTCTTATGAACAATAGATGAAGCTGCATTACCACACTGAGAGCAAAATAAAGAGGATAAGAGATAAAATGCACTGGCATTTACAGAGGATGAAACAAATCTTAAGGCAGACACTACACAGTGTGTTCATCTACCTCCACAGGTATATTGTTTGGAGATCTAGGAGTTGTGCAGTTCTGAGGCTTTGTTGGTGTCTTTGGATGAGACAATACAGGAGAACGCTGATATGTTGGTAAGAAAGAGCCATAGCCACCAAATTTTGCCCCTGTAATCACATTCAAAGGACTAGTTCAAATTTGTGCGGAGGCACTTGGAGCTACGAAGAACAGAGCTGCCACAGATCAACATACCAAGATTCTCAGCTGAAACTCCACCTTCAAAGTCCTTCTGGAAGTGTCCAAGGACATTACGAAGCTTCTCATCCTTCAAAAGAAGCAAAAGGGACAAAAGTCAAGAAACCAAAGAGCAGCATCCCGCTTGAGACATGAATGAGCAATGCCATAGATCACTCTTGCTGAGATTCTAGACTTTTAGATATGCATGGCTTTAGGATACTTTTGTTCCGAGACAACTTAAGCAAACCGAAAAGCATATTAAAAGCTCTTTAAAGAATTATCTAGTAAAGAAAACAAACAGAAAACTGTAACCGATGATTAAAAAACAAATGAACTTTGTCGGGACGTGCTCTAAAAAGGTTCTGTCGTATAAAAACAGTGCACGCTGTATTAACAAACCAAAAGGCCTTGCCAAATGGATGATAGTTATGCGGCAAAGAGTAACAGTCGGAGCATTCCGGTCAACTGCAGTGAGGCATGATGAAAGCAATGCCTCATTTTAGTCGGATCAAAACGAAATCACCAAAGAGAAAACCGCACTTCCTTCCTATGTGACTTCCTTTCAGCCAACAGCTAAAGCTTGAATTCGAATATTAAGAACATTGAAACAATACAAATTCCAAGCTCCTTAGATCGCAAACAAGCTCTATAAGTTTCCCGACCAAACTGATATACCCAATCTGGCAATGGAATCTATCTATACTGCATCGTTAACCCTTCGAAACGCATAATCTACTTACGAAGAAGCACAAATTAAAGAAGGTTACGTCTTGCTTGAACAAAAAAAGAGTGACTTACAATGTATGAGAGATCGGTATCCGGGTCTATGCATCCATTGTTATTGTAGGAGCAAGCCTCTCCTTCTTCAAGCTCAGACTCCTCCATATCTCTTTCTTCGAGTTCTACCACCAAACCCTAACCCTAGCCCCTTTCCAACATTGCAATTAGCAAACCCCCAAATCCTCCGCAAAACCGCGCCGAAACCAAGAGGCCTTCTTGTACCTTACACAAAATCATGTAATCAACAGAAATCCACCTACGATTTTCCCCAACTTGATCGAGATAGCATCCGATCAGAGCAAAGAAACGGATGCACCAGACAACCCAGGAACCGGATTGTTCGATTCCGCAAAATCAACGTATTGAACAGGAGAATCGAAGGAAGAAATCGATCGAAACAGGAGGGGAGCAGGGTTTTCGTTTCGGACGGAAGGATCGGTCAGTTTCGATCTCTGTCGATGGTGGAATCAATGAGCAAAGACGTAGAATCTCCCTGGTTTAGGTGTGTACAGGACAGCCGCGGTTTTTTCCCCTTTTTTATTTGTTTTTCCCTCTGTTCCTTTTTTCATCTACCGGAGAAGGGGGAAAAAAAAGGAAACCAAAGGTGAAATTCTCCGATTTTTTTCCTTTTCACAGAAAAAACTGATCGTTCAAACTATTGAAAATAGGGAGAAGAGAGAGAGAGAGAGTTTTAGTTCAATTCTATTACTCGAGGAAAAGATTTCGATAATCAAGCCGAATCTGATAATTGCTCGGCTGTTTTGTTACAAAACAGGTCTGGTCCGAAACGGTAAGCTCCTCGACTGCACCACCATCCACCCGCGGCTTCCGGCGCGTGTCTCGTACTCGCTGTACATAACAATAAGACCATTAAATTCTGTTTTTATTTTGTAATAACCAACTAATTTCAACCTTCTCTGCTTTTGATAGATTCTAATTTTTATATATTGATCTCACAAAAAATGCACTGGGGAAATACTAAATCTTCAAAAATATCCATATATAATCCCCAAAATCTTTTACGTTTTGATTGTCAATCTCTTAATCATGGAAAGAAATGTATCACATACAACATGCATTAATTAATTTTGACATCGGATCAGGTAATTTGTTTTCAATTAATAAGGCTTTAATATGAAGTTAAAGGAAATATCACATCCTTTGGGGGAATTAATTAAGGGGTACATGTAATATTCAAATATGTTAAAGAAAAGGCGGATCTTATATATATAATATGCGAATATGCAATTTATCATCATTAGCAATTTTGCATCTGCTCACAAAAAAAGATGAGTTCACTTTTTAATTGATTAATGTTAAAAGTAAATAAATAAAAAATTTCTCTCACTGGCATAAAGGATAAGTGGGTGACTTCTCTAGATGAACCGCACATCAGCAAAGGAGAGATAATAACTGGTGATTTGACGGAATTACCCTTCCAATCATGTGGCTCTGCTGTTGAGACGGCATGTAAGCACTTGGATATGTGTTTGGGCAGTTTCGTCATTCTCGCAGCAGCAACCGTACCCATACACGACAATAGCGAAAAGCCAAGGGAATTACGCGTACGTATGTACTTTCAATTTACGTGGCACTTTGGACCAAAACAAGTTTCGCGTGACAGAATTCCCCGCATTACAAAAAGTCAAAGATAGGTAGCTTGAAAGTCAAACATGCATAGGTTGGGAGTCCGGAGGCATAAGATATTGTTTACCGAACACATATTTTTTCTTTTGCCCTAAACTTGGCACTATTTTTTAGTAGTTGTCGTGATCTTGTAGATTTTATTTATAAACTTTAATAATTCGTATATATTTATATACATATGAGGAAGGAAGCTTTGAAGGGTATAACAATAGAATAGGTGATCGAATGCAAGACACCGAAAGTGTTTTTTTTTTATATCAGCAGG